GTTCGCCATGCGTTTCCCTGAAAATAATTGCACACCTTAGAATGTTTGTCAGCCAATCAGATTCAAGTATTCAACGGCCCCGTATCAATAACACTTTCTGTATTTTTTTATTGTGCATTTCTTCTTCTTCTTCTTCAAAAAAAATCATTATATTTTAATTATCTCTTGCAGTTCTTTGTAGAAGACAACCTAACATCCACAGATACTGTTTATAATGCATCAAATGAGACACTTCTTCAGCCTGATGGACATCCCATATCTTACCTGGACAATAACACATCCTACCTTCCTGTGAGTTAACTATATTGCTGTTTGTCTTTTTTATAAACAGAAAAGGTAGCTGGCTGCACACTGAGTCCAATGAAGATTGAAGAGGTCTAGAAAAACATAATTTATTTTATAAATTGCATGTTTTTTTTGCTATTTTTTCAATTCAAATCAAAAAGCTCTTCAGATGGACCTTCACACTGTATATGTGAAGATTAAATGTGGAAATAGTATGTGTCCTTTCTTTGACTTTTGACCAGCATTATACGTAACGTGAAATAGCATTCATTAGAAACAGCAAAAACAGAAATCTCCTCTCACTTTCAACTGCTTTTATTTCTAGCAAATTTCTTGATGTGTAAATTATGTGTAAATTATAATATTTACAAAATTATATTTAAAATACAGTATGCTGAAAATGGGATGCTTCGTTTTCTGCTGAAATAATAATAGCAAGTAATTAACTACAAAGGACTCATTTGTGATTTTGTGCAATGAGGTAGTTCATATTTTAATGTTAAAAACCTATTGGAACCTATGTGGAATTACTGTTAACAAATGAATTTCAGCCAAAGGGTTTTCTTGAACATATATTCAATGCATTATACAATATAGCATCAATTTATCAATAGCTATTTTTTCTAACTTCATGAAAAACTATTCAGTGTGATGATCATTTTGCACATCTGAACTCTTTATCAACATGGATGTTGTTGTTACAGGATTATGATTTCATGACTAATGCAGCTTAATACAGTTTTTCAAATAGGGATTTAATTACCTAATTACACAATGCTGAAATATTTGTAATGTGCAACATTATCTTGCTTTTTCTCCTTTAATTTTGTTTCATACACTTTGGAAAGATGTTTTAGTGGTAATACATACAGAAATCAAAATCTGCCAGATAAATGCAGTCCAGCCTGAAGAAAAGTCATTGAACACAATTCAAAGTTTAATAAGTTGCATAGCTTTTTAGTAGATATAGAATATCTGACTTATATTGTTTTTGATCCATGTATGTCTTATCGCCATTGATTCAATTATAGTTTGTTTAGTAAGAACATAAGTGGAGTTTTCACAGTCACAGCACAATATTTATGATTTCCGTGTTTTTCTGCCATTAGTATTTTATCTATAGTTGCATTCTGGGCCTGATTTCCTGCTCCGTGTTTCTGAGGATCAACTATGAGCTGAAGATGCTCATCATGCTAACAGCCGTGGTGCTCTACAGCGTCATCATACTTCAAACACACGCATTTCTGCTGGATGAGTACAGTAAATTCCTCTACAAAACAGAGATCCTGGATAGGTGAGAACTTGTTATCTACACTATATGGTCAGAATTATGTAGGGAGCAATGCACTAATATGTGGTTGGGCATTTACATTAATAGAAAGTTTGTCCTTCCTGTACTAAATATAACAACTTCCATTCCTCTGGTAAGGCAACTGAAACATGGCTGCATAGATTTTCAGACAAAATAATTTTGCAGTCAGAATTTAAATGTTTTTTTTGTTTTTTTGTTTTTTAAAGTCAGTCATGTCCACACCAGACTCGGTAAACCATTTCTTTAGGATCGTACTTTGTGCATGGGGGCATTATCATGCTGGAACAGAAATGCTCAATGCTCTCCACAAACGGTTGCCGCAGTGTGCAAAGCACATCACTGGATTTAATGGCCCCTATAAGCAGAAGTGAGTGTCTACATACTTCTGGCCATGTATTGTATCAACTTCAAAATTAAATCTAAAAAACAAAAACAAAAATACAAAATAAGTAAATTAACAGTAAACGTATGGTGTAGCTAGTCAAATCTGCTTTCATATGGTAATCAAAGGTAACCATGTGCATGTTTATGATATTTAGTGTCAAACAATACATACAATAATACAAAAACTCTTGCTATGTTTGGCTCATTTATCCCAAAACTAGTACAACAAAAGAAAATTGGGATTCGCTTCATGCACAACAGTTTCCTGAAGATTACAGATTTTGTTCTAGAAATCAGAGCTGGATGTTGAAAATAAATCACTGAACCAGCACAGTCACTTCCTGCTAATTGACAGCTGGGGTGGACATGGTCTGCTAGCCATCCTGCGTACAGATGACATGATTTGTTACAAACTTATGTAGTGATGCTGACAAGTCTTATATCTCTCTCTGTCTCTCATCAAAACAAGGCCAGGAGTTCTAAAAGACTTGAAAACTATGGGCTCTGTGTCTCTCTTTATATTCTTCATCACCCTGCTTGTTCTAGCTAGACAGGTGAGATATTTTTTTAAAGCCAAATTACAGTTGCTCATTTATAGATTATAATAGATTTATAGATTTGCTCTGTATGGTGATTATAACTGAAATAGCGCCGTGACCTCCAGTCTCTTTACCTCTGTGTCCTCTTGTAACAGAATGAATATTACTGT